ATTCTATCTCTACAGTCCAGCCCACCTAACAAGGGTGTAGACTTTCCAATTTCGGGGGGGGGGGCTGGGGCTGGGCCAGAGGCATTGCTTTGCTAGGAGCAAGGGTGGTTCCCGGGGGAGGCTGAGCCCCTTCCTGAAAATTTCGGCGGGGGCTAACGCCCCGCCGCCCCCACGAAGATTACGCCTATGCCACCTAATTCAAAACAACCTGTTGTAAAGCAAAGTCATGACAATGTAAAGCAGATCCCTCCCCAAGGGCCTTATAAAATGAGACACTGGGTGATCTGTAACATAACTTCCTGTGGGTTTCTTTTTTCAGTTCAAATGCCCCAATTGAGATGAGGGAACTGCACTGAAGGAAGAAATGTTTTAACCCTTTCTTTGATGCTGCTTTCCCTGTCTAAATCACTCCCAACTCAAGCTGCTGTTTGCACCAAAAAGAAAAAAGTGCACAGTTGTTTCATGATTGTACTTTTTTTTCTACCTAGGAAACTGGTAGTAACTTGTAAGGTGGGTGTTAGACCCTGGATCAGGAAATCAACCCAGATCAGGATTTAGCACCCCATCCCACAACACTGCTTCCCTGATCTGGACCTCCCCCTCCCCAATGGCTGCTTTCAGCTAAAAATAATAACATGCAGATCTCCCAGTTCCTCTACTAGTGTGGTGATATAAGCTTGGGTGAAGCTGCTGACTATGTGAGGTAGGCAAAAGCCTCAAAATAGAGATGCCCATGCACAGCAGTGAACTGCTTCGTTGCATCTCTACACACCCAGCCAGTTGTCAGCTTTGATGGTGCTGATAACCTCTGTGGGAGGGCTGGTCAGGCTCTGAATTAAAGCCTCCCCCACCCACCTCCAACAGATGATTGGCCGTGTTCATGCTGACCGCACTAGCCATCTGTTCAGTGCTGCGTCTGCTGTACCTGGTCTAATTTTGAGAACTGCACATGCAGCACCACTTTGTTCTTGCAATTTCTGATCCGCACAAGGTAGGAAGGAATGGACGGGGTTGATGTATGCTGCAATCATGCAGTGCCCAAGGTTCCCTAATGATAATATCACTGGATATTTTAATGGTGACATATGGTTTTGGCCTTACATTGGATTGCACTTCTGTAGTAGACAGTTTTTAACTGCAACTTTCATAGTTTTAATTGCTTGTGGCCAAATAAGTTTTAACAAGGTATAGATATCTGTACATCTGATGCAGATGTGGACTATTTTGTGGTGAATCCTGCCTTAGATGCAGGAGAGCAGCTGGGCTTAGATGACCTTTGAATCCATTCTCCCCTATGATTGTATGGTTTCTTTTATAAGAACATGGGAAGAGCCCTGCTGGATCAGACTAATGGTCCATCTAGGCCAGCATCCTGTCTCACACAGTGCCTCTGAACATGGCGGTTCCCCTCAGCCACCATGGCTAGTAGCCACTGATAGACTTCCCCTCCGTGAATCTATCTAATCCCCCTTTAAAGCTGTTTATTCCTGTGGCCATCGCTACATCCTCTGGCAGCCAATTGCACACTTTATGGGCAGACACGCTCATAGAGCCAGTGCAGCAACCTCTGACTAAAGTTAAGAAATCAGGTGCTGGAATTACCCAGCCCCGCGTACCGGCTCCTGACATTCTCTGTTTGCCGGACTCTGTGTCTCTCCAGCAAGACTGCAGGAACTGGATCACAGCCATCTCATTCACACAACTCCTTGGAAGAGCTGCTAAGCAGCTGCCGTCGCACCTCAGTTCCTTCCTCTCATATCTGGACACAAATCAGTTCAAATAAACTGTAGAGTCTGTCATTGCAATTCCCTGCCTCTCTTCTGCAGCTCCAGATGTTGGGCAGTCCGCAGCACTCAGCATTACGAACAGTGGCTAATTTGGATTAGGATGCTAATTAGAAGTGAATGGACCGCGCAGAGAGCACTTAGTCAGGGTTAATTAGCAGTTAAGTGGGCAGCCGGGCTCCCTTTGGCTGTGTTCACTCACAGGAGTTCTCCAGCTGAAACTCCTCAGGGGACTTCAAGCTCCAGCACTCAGCGCCGCTTCACCAGGGGCAACCCTTTAGTGCTGGTCACTGGGCTGCAGTCAGTTATGCCAGCAGGTGCAAAGCACCTCTGGGAGGACCCAGCCAGGACTCTGCGTACAGCAAGACAGGCACTGCTTTTTCTTTACGGAACTGAGTGTAAAATCTGTCCTGTGCCCTTCAGTATCAAGGGCTGAAGATAAAGGAAGCCAAAGGGAAACTAAACAAATAAAACAAAATGAACAAAAACCTTTTGCATTTCACACATATTCAACTGGGCACAAGGACTACTTCCCCAAGAGCTCTGTACTTTGTTTCAGTGGATGGATTCAGTCCTTGAATTTGCCCCTGCATATGTTAATTGAGTCCTTTGCTAAAATGAAAGGGGATCTCTGTGTAGATAAGTGCCTCATATGCACGCTTGCAGGCCTTGGCACTGGCTTCCTGTTGTGTTGTGCATCTGTTTCCTTGAATTTAGGGCTGTTCACTCCTTCTTCTTAGTCTCATATGTCTTGTTTAATCTCCCTTTATTTTCTTCAGCCATTGCCTGCAAGATCAATGGTTATAATCAGTGCACATTTTCTTACACTTATTTATAAGGTGAAACTTTCACCTTTCTGAGCTGGCGAGAGCTTGAGTCCATGAAAGATCTGTTTCAGTAGGATTGCCCTTTTGTTTTATGTGCCATTATTTGCCATGAATTTCCTTATTCATAAACAGCAAGTGGCAACCTGTGAAAAATCTCAGGTATAACAAGAAACTTGAACGACAGGGGAGCCAGGCACTATGTGTGCCCCTTTGAATTTCCTAAACTCTCACCCAAATCATGAAAGAGCATATGCACTCTTTCCTCTCTGGCTTACTGGTGCAACTTTGGTGAATTTTGACTGGGGAGTCAGAAGTATCAAAAACCTAGAGAACGCATGCTCCCATTTAGTCTCCAGCGCATCTATATTTTGGGTTTTCTAAAGACAATCATCACTTCACTGCTGGAGAATTGGAGAATGAAAATCATAGATATCCATTTGGGTCCCTGCTCTTCACTTCTTAAAAATATGAATATATATCAGTACCAATGACAAGCAGCAAGTTCACGTGTATATGTTGTGTATGGAAATCTACACATGTGCTTTAATTGGACACATCAGTCATATGATAAGATCACAGTGCATCAGCACATCTGCACATGGATTGGGAATTCTTCATGGATACATGGAAGTTTCACTCTCTCCCACATTTACTCATTGCTTTAAAAACTGTTTATTAGTTTTTGACCTTCTTCTGGATCACTTCCTTGTGATGGAAAATGCTGTTTGCCTTCTTGAATGAGAATCCCCACAGTAGTATAAATGTAACAATGCAATCTTTCCCTCTTGTATACTCCATAAGATAAAGACGTTTAGGAAACAGCTATTTATCAGCCTCCCTTCTTGCTTCCAGATAACACCTGCCACTTTGAGGATGAGAAGGTCTGTGGTTACACACAAGACACAACAGACAACTTTGACTGGATTCGACAGAGCAGTCTTACCTATGATCCCAAGCGCACTGCCAACACAGGTCCAACAATGGATCTCAGTGGCACACAAGAAGGTATGTAGGCCTCAAGCTTTCAGCATTATGGAGCTTTAATCCCCATGTACCCTCCTCAGCCCCGCCCAGAAAGACTTCTGACAGGAGACAAAGGGGAAGGGAAGTAAGAAAGAGGAGGCGTTGGTTGGAGAGCCTGAGAATACAGCCAGTGTCACTGCCAGGCAGGGCCTGGCAATCAGCAGAGGGACTTACTTGCAGTTATCCAGGCTTTCCCCAGCAACACACTAACATCACATCCAGGTGCACACAGGGCCGGCTCCAGGGTTTTTTTTCACACTAGGCGAGGCTACCTTCTGGTGCCCCCCCATGAGAGAGGAAGAGGAAGACAGGAAGGGAAGAAGAAAGAAAGAAAGCCAGCCACCCCTCCCTCTGTTCTTTGACAAGAAGCTGGGATGCTTCTCTCCTGAGGCTGTGCGGGGGTGAGTGGGAGAAAGGAGACTGAGGACCCCCCCCCCAACAACAACCCCCGCCGGGGCTCCCAGCTCCTACCAACCCACCATGGATCCGCTCCCCAAATGCGCGCAGGACTGGCACTCTGTGAGCTGAGACGCTGGACAGAAGCCCCAGCCCCGTCGGCCTCTGCCACCCAAAGTGCCCTCCGGCCCCGGGGGAGGGGCCAGGCGCGGCAGGCCAGCTCCTCGCTCAGCTGCTCTGGCACTCGGCAGGCTTAACCCCTCCACGGCTGCAGCAGGCAAAGAGGAAAGGGAGGCGCATTGCCCAGGCTGCCCTCCGCCGCTCAATAGGGCTACTTGGGAGGAATACAGCAGGTGGGGGGGTCTGCTGCTGAGCTCCCCAAGGCGGCTCCGGCATGTTTCCTCTGAGGAGGGTAGAGCAGGCAACACTTACCTTCCCTGTGGCTGTGGGCAGCCTGGGCGGAAGGAGGGATTGTGGCCTGGGGGAAGGAGGGAGGGCAGTCGGGACTTGCATCGGGGAAGAGGAGGCAGCGGCAGCAGCTGGGGGCAGCTATGGCCTGGGGGGTGGGGGGCTTTTGTCGAGGAGGAGAGTGGCACAGTTGGCTCTACAGCCACTTCCTTCCACATCTCCTCCACGCCGGCCGCAGCAAACGTACTTGCCAGTCGATCCTCCCCAGGAGATCCAAGGAGGAGGCGGCCGCGGTCACCCAGTCAGAGAGAGGGCTTTTGGGGGGGCTTTTGGGGGGGGCGGGTACAGTTTGGCGCCCCTAAGGGCCGGCGCGCTCTAGGGGCCAGCTCGCCTAGTGAGCGAGCTGGCCCTGGGTGCACAGGGATTGATGTCAGCGTTTAAGATTGCTGCCTATTCTCCCCCCAGTTTCCCACCCCTTTTCTCCCACTGACAAGCAGAATGGTGGCAGGGAAGAAGAAGAAGAAGAGATTGGATTTATACCCCGCCCTTCACTACCCAAAGGAGTCTCAGAGCGGCTGACAAACTCCTTTCCCTCCCCCTCCCCACAACAGACACCCTGTGAGGTAGGCGGGGCTGAGAGAGCTCTGACAGAAACTGCTCTTTTTTCAAGAACAGCTCTTATCAGAGCTACAGCTTGCCCAAGGTCATCCAGCCAGGTGCAAGTGGAGGAGTGGGGAATCAAACCCAGTTCTCCCAGATTAAAGTCCTCGCACTTAACCACTACACCAAACTGGCTCTCAAGTGTCCACTAGGGCAGGGCTGCCCTACCTACTACTACCTACTACCATCTCCTCCCTGTTTATTCACTTATTGCACACCAGGCCATTTCAGGTTTCCATCTTCTGCACAGGCAAGTCCTTCAGCCTCTCACTTCCATAACTGAGGGTGTATTTGTTGGGTCCTAATGCCCTAGAGTTTCATCCTTTGTTCCTCCTCTTGCTCCTACCCAGCACCTTTAAATCTCATACATTAGAGATTTCCCCATGACATGCTATGCTATGAGAGCTTGGAGAAGGCAGGGAATCACTGTGTCTGGATTTTGCCAAGTCCTCTTGAAGATCAATTTAGCTCTCTGTATTTCATGTGCCGCCTAGGGGCCTGGGGATGAAATAGATTGGCTTTCTGTGTACTCACATCTGCTCTGCATTGGGCATGGGGAGCAGGCGGTTAATTTGCATGTTTCTTATTCGTATTAAATACCCAATTAAAACTCCCACAGCTTTGTTTAGGGGAATCAGGAGAGCATTAGTCCTTGTTACTGGCTAATTGCCTGCTGCCAAATGTCCTTGTTCCATTGATGCTTCCTTTGAAGTCACAGAGGAGAGAAGCGAGTAAAAAACCATGTTTCATGTTCAGAAATGGCTGGGCTGGCTTCAAGCATCTTTCAAAGCAGGAGCCCACTGAACTTTCCAGCACACTGTGCCAGTATCTTCTGGGATGTAGCTTCTGATTAGATATTATACTATGGAAAGAAGTGAACCTTCAGGGCTAGTTAGTGTTGCCAGCTCTGGGTTGAGAAATACCTGGAGATTTGGGGGGTGGAGCCCAGGGAGGGTGGGATTTGGGGAGGGGAGCAAGGACTTCAGTAAGGTATAATGCCATAGGCTCCACCCTCCAAAGCAGCCATTTTCTCCAGGGGAACTGACCTGGGTAATCTGGAGATCAACTGTGGTTGGCAACCCTAGGGATAGTCAGCCTACCTCCTTAACCTGGTACTCCAGGTCCTACCTCCTGTCCTGTGTCCTGGCACAGATCCAACCAGAAATACAGGGGAACAATTACTAGTCTTGACTAAAAATCATGGCGGAACCTTCTGCAGGCCAGAAACAGAGCTAGCTTGGTATCTCAGCTAAACATACCAAATAGGATAGTCCAGTGATGTGGAATAGAATAGGCTTGGGAAGGGACAAAGAAGAAAGGAGTAACAGTCTAATATGGCCTTTGAGAGACAGTATGCCAATAGATATAATATGTGTCTGGGCCCGGGTACAAGATGTGCCTGAGAATGGCAAGAATGTCCAACTAAATATAGAAGTGTAGTTCAATGATGGGGTGTATTGGTTGGAGTCCACAAGATATATAAAAGAAACCTGTAATCCCTATTTTTGATATTCTTTGTTGCAATAAAAGGTGGCAAGAATGAGCTAACATAGGTTTTTATATATAATTTAAGAAGTTAGTCCAGTTTAGATAACTTTGTATGGTGTTTGACGTTATAAGATAATTAGTTAGCCAAGAACATGTGCCTTTATCAGCTGGGACAGCTAGCTATTGTTGGAAGACGATTTTTGAAAACCTAGAATTAGAAACTGCATCGAACTGGAATGTCTTGTCTGAAGATGCTCCTTGCCTGTAACCTGATTACTTTTGGTAAGAAATAATAAATGGGTTCATGTAATTGCTTTCCTTTAATTAACTATGTAAAATCAATGGATAGGATTATGTTCTCTTAAATTAGCCAGTGTTAAAGTATAAATAATTATTTTTAATAAGAGGTAAAATGGAGGCAAGATTGTCTATTTTCTCTTGTGTGCTATAAAATGAACTAAAAACATTGTTGATATGTACCTCTCGTCAGGAGATGAATGCTCTGATAGGGGAAAGCTAACTAGATGCATAGGGCTTCTTTAGTGCATGCCTATATCTGAGTCAGGCCTGACCAGAGTCGTCTGGAACAGCTCATGTAGCCAGACCTGGCTACATATATACACTATTATATAATATACAAAGGACTGTGGTGCCAGCAACCACTGGAAGTAACAGAGAAGCTAAAGAGGGCAGTGGACATGGGAAGACTGGGGCGTCTAAGAAGGTCAGTCAGAGCGACTTGGCAAGCCTGAAGTAACCCGCTCAATACCTGTTACCGGACATGGTGAATGTCTGTTCTATTGGGGCTTGCTGTTGCTCTGAGTGAACAGAGAGTGTTGTCTAGACTTCATCCAACTTATATATTTGACCAGTTTATAGGTCACCTTTCTATTATAAACATGCCCAAGGTGGCTTAGAAGTAAAATGAGTTAAAATACAATAAAATCATAGAACCACAATAAAACTGACTGCATATAAAACTAAAAGCACTTTTTTTAAAAAAAAGTCAGGAATAAAACAAGTCTACTTGAAGGCCTTCTGAAACAAGCAAAACTTTAGATGGTACCATAAGTCCTGTAGTGTGGGAGCTAAATGAAGTTCCCAGGGAACAGCTGTCAAGAAGGCCTCCACGTGAGTCACAACCAAACAAATCGATGTGAAAGGGGGTTTCCATAACAGCCCCCCTCCTTGGGCTGACCTCAGAACACAGACTGGAATGTATTGTGATCCTTCAGGTTCTTTTAGCCTTGCCAAGCTCCTGTCATGGGTGGGGTATTCCCTGCCCCAGGACCCACCCCCCTGACACCAATCAGCTGGCCAGCCGATGCACTTACCAGCAGTAAAGGGAGGCCAGGTCTGGCATTGCTGGCAACATGGTAATGTTACTTCCAGCGTGCATCAATAGTGATGTCTTTGCCTCACTGGCAATGCAGGACACTCTGGTATTTGGGCAAAAACTCTGTGGTAAAAATGACTTCTACCGCAGAGTTTTTGCCCAAATACCAGAGCATCCCCACATCACCAATGATATGATGACATCATTTCTGGTGTATGCTAGAAGTGCTGTTTCTGGCCTAGGCCTTTGCTGCCAGTAAGTCCCCCCCCCCCACCTCATGGCAGTTGCCAGAGGGAACTTGGCAACCCTAGGTTCTTTGGGCCCAAACACTGTTAAGAGGTTTAAAGATGAAAACAGCACTTTTAGTTGAGCCCAGAGACAATGAAGCTGGTGTAAAACTGGCTTAATATATTATTTATTTTATTATTATTTACTTCATTTAAATCCTGCCTTTCTCCCCAATGCGGATCCAAAAGAGCTTACATCCTTCTTTTCTTCACTTTGTCCTCATAACAACCCTGTGAGATAGGTTAGGCTGAGAGTGTGTAACTGGTCTAATGTCATCGAGTGAGCTTCCATGGCAGAGTGAAGATTTGGACTTTGGTCTCCCAGATCCTAATCTGACATGCTAACCTCTTCACCACACTGGTTCTCATATATTTGTTGCAGCAACCCCCAATTAACCTTCCAGCTGCTGCATTTTGAATCAACTAATATTTGGAGACTGTCTTCAAAGGCAGCAACACATAGAGCATTTTACAGTAGCCCAGCATTCTTCTGCAGGTGTAAATTGCCAGGAAAAAATTGCAGTGATGGACGAGCTGTCTTTAAGGGAAGGCTGTGCACCATTATTTTTTGTTTTCCTTAACAAAACCCTTCTGCCAAGGAGGACCATCAGGAGTCTCCAGAACGCAAAATTAAACATATAGGGAGAAGCAGGAAAAGAGTTGGTAATGTTACTCCTGGCTGAAGTAAGTGGTTTCCAAGGAGAGGGTGGAGGTTCAGCTCCCAGAATGTCCCTGTTGAAGACCTCCTCTGTATAAATACTGGTTCTCACCAAGCTTATATTTTACCAACCCATTGACCTGGAGAGACATATGACAGTGTATTGCTTTATTTCCACCTTTTGTGTCTTTCACCTTTAGGCTATTACATGTTCATTGAAGCCTCCAAGCCCCGGGTGAAAGGAGACAAAGCCAGGTTAATCAGCCCGGTGTACAATGTTACTGCCAAATTCTGTGTCTCCTACTACTACCACATGTATGGAAAGCACATTGGTGAGTAAATGTGAGGGCAATAATGGGTGGGATAGGGAAAGGGCACACTGGGAACTGCTGAATTTACTGCATGTTAGAGGGGAACATCTTCTAGTGTGTGCCAGATCTGTCCGTTGCTGGTAATAGTCAATGTGTGGTTCATCATTCCGGGCACTGACATTTTGTTTTGGCAAAACAACTCTGTTCATTTTGCAACCTGAAAAGGAAAGCTGACGTGCCGCATCGTGAGCTAAAAATCATCCTGTTCTCCTAAGAGACATCTACCCAGTAACAACCACCAGCTCCCCTACTCACACACATCCCATTCAGGGCTATACTCCACAACTGAAAGCATTTATTGAAAGGTAGATACTTTTTTCTCCATTACAACACCACACAAAAATTGGCGTGTGGCCAAGCAGACTGCCTCTGATTTCTAAGCATTTACAAAAAATACCTTGTGGGTTTTTTAGATATATTTTTAATGCTGTCATGGGTTCTAGAAACCTGATTTTGGTTTGAGCATTTTTAAAGGAGGCCTCCTATTTTCATAACTGCATGGCAGCCATTGGTGTGTACATCAGAGGTAAGATTCTGGACAAATTGTTCCTATTACTGTCTGACTCTTGTTGTAATTTTTGTCTCAATAGTCTAGTAAAATACAGGGAGCTTTCTTATATTCCTGCCTCTTTTACTGAGATGCTGTAATGTGATTTGGATGGGAAGTATTTTTAGAGGATATCTGTGGGGTCTGGTTTGAAGAGGGGTCAGAGTGAATATTTCAAGCGAGGGTAATACAGGTGTCACTGGTCTCTCTAGCTGGTGATTTCATTCAAGGAGAGTAAACAAGACCCAGGAAGATAGCAAAAATAATGCACAAAGGAGGGATTCATTCTATTGGATAAAGTCATTCAGAAGGGCATCTCTCCCCCTCTTGCTTCACCTCCTGTCTGTGACTGCAGAGATGAAGCCATAGCACTCTGCAAATGCCACAGAAGTGCCTAATGAGTTTCCACATTCAGTCAAGGAGCAATTGCTAATTTGTCACCTCTTGATTATAATTTCATTAATTTGAATAATAAATGCACTCTTTCAAAAGCCCACCAAGTTATTAATCACCTGCTGGACTGGAGCCTGACTGAGAAATCAGTCAAGAGTGTGTCCGCCTGTTGGTAAACAGGGCTGGTAAATGGTGTTAATTAACATCTTTCTGTACCACAGCACGTGAGATTTGATCATGCTAGATACTGGTCCTGTTCACTTTCTTCCTCTAAGGGGGAAGGAAACAGATACTCCTCAGTGCAGGAACCAGGGAGATCTATGGCTCAGCCAGACCAGTGCAGGCTACTTCCCAAGACTCAAAGTTCTATCCTTTAGTCAATACAGACATTGTTCTCACTAATGAGAACTCTTATTTGCCATACAGTGTTAACGTTTTGGTGACCTTCATGGATAAATATCCATGCCTGCCCATGGAATTTGTGCAAAATAAAGAAGAAAAAGTGGCCTTTATGTTTTTTAGGTATTGAAAAGACTTTTGACATTAGTGCCTGCCAGAGGTCATTTCAGGGGGGAACGTGGGGGATCGCAGAGGTACGGGGGGCAGGGCACATGGCGAAGCCCTGCCCCCTGCTTCCGGCCGCCCCGCTTCCAGCCCTCATTCAGCCAGGAGGAGGCAGGAGAAGAGGGAGGGTAAGTTGCTTCCTCCCCGCCTCTCCCCACCCCTGCCTGCCTGGGGCCAGGGTGGGCCTTGGCGGGGCTTCCTCGCACTCCCGCTGGCCTTGCAGGTCCACCGCCGGGCCCCTGATGTCAGGGGGTGTGGCATATGCTAATGAGTTATGCTAATGAGTTCCCCTAGCTCTTTTTCTACGAAATGACCCCTGGTGCCTGCCCTATTGGTGGGTGGGCTGATTCAATGCAGTTTCAGGGACAGCAGGGGGAGATTACATTGGTCTTGCTTTACATTATATTCTAAGTACCTTCCATGTTTTTCTAGTATAGACTAGAACCAGGGCTATATACAATGTACAACTGCCTTGATTTCTTCTTGTTGTTTAGCTCTTCCTGACTAATTTTGGCTTCTCCTTGGCTACTCCCTAAGTCAACTTTAACTTTAAGCAGCTGTTCTCTAGACATCTTGGAAAGGGTTTTTATTCCTGGCCTTTCTAGGTCTGGACAAAACTCTTAATTAATATAGAACATGGCAGAGAGAGAGAGAGATCTTTCTGCATCAGACTGCATTTTTAAAAGCTTAGAAGTGCTATACAAACAGCTGAAGGACTGTGAAGGGTTAGTTCTTCACAGAAACAGTGAGTGACAGGCTGCTCCAAGTAATCTGATTGGTTAGCATCAGATGAGCAGAGAGAGACTTTAGAGCTGAATGCTGAGGAGGAGAATTCATTCGGAATTCAGCGCTGACTGAGAGGAGTTTAACACAGACAGGAGAACTGGGGAAAGATGGCAAGGACGATTGGTAGTTAGACGGAGACTCCCATTTGGGCCAAGAAAAGGGGATAGATCTTCTAAAGAGAGAAGGAATTTCCTTACCCAGTCAAACAGGAAGTTAGTTCTGAAGAGTGAAGAGACCCCTGGTCTGGCGTGATTAGAAACTGCTTTTAGAGTTCCTAAACTCAAGACGAGTATTGGTGTTTCAAGAGAAGGGGTTTGGGTGCTGGACAGAGTGTACCAGCCTTCTGGAAAACAAAAGTTAGAAAAGAGTGTACCAGCTTTCTGAAAACCAAAGGAATCAGAGAATACTCAAAGAAAGTGTGCTGGAGGTTTTGGAAAACTGGAACAAAAGCCTCTCTGCATCAACTGTGAATAGGTTATGAAACTCTCATTAGCCTGAAACGTAAGAACTAAGTCTGTGTATGTACTGATTTTACCTCAGAGATATCAATATTGAGTTGCCACAGAAATTTTACCCCTGATTTCACCTGACCTTTCCCCTCTACATTGAATAAAATATTTTTAAATTTGAAATATAAAAACTTCTCAAGTGCCATTTTTAGTGGTTTAAGGACGATCCCAACCCTTCCCCCAGGTTCCTGGGACAGCCAGAATTCTTCAGGAAAGAAGAAAACAGACCACTAGGGCTGCTCAGTCAGAAAGGGAAAGAAAAACAGAGGGAAAATTTGCCTCTGAGGGAAGGAAGTGAATGGGGCTGATACAGATAGCTTGGTACAATTTGGGATCAGCAGCTTATTCAACTTTGATTTTAACTACCAAGAAACCAAGCAAAACATTCTGTGACTCCTCTGACCCCGCAAAAATCCTCCTGCTCTCATGTGTATTCCCCATCTTTAAGGCTCTTTTGGTTCTGGTCAGTTAGACAGATTCTTCATCGTCTGCTACTGTCTAGCAGTACTGAAGGGCTTTCATTCATGCAAGGTGACTGCATTGTTGAGTTTTAATGTTGTGTTGAGATTTCCCAGGGTGGGTTCTAGGGACAGAGTGAATACATTTTGAAGTATTTAAAAATCACATTGAAAGTCAGAGAGGGCAAAAAAGAGAGTGATTCTTTGCCATTAAGATTCAGCTCCTGTCAGCTAGAGGCCACGAACATGTCCATCCTGAAGTCCAAGTTTGCGGTTTTCCCCCTTCCTCTCTCACTCTTTCTAAAGCGTTTCTACAGTACTCATCACTTCCATTCTCATCACTTCCAGTCTTTCTTGCCCCCATTTCATTTGCAGGAATATCTAGCAAAAATGAAGAGTGTTCTCAGTAAACTAAGTCAGGATGCCCAGAAGTGAAATTCTGGATCACTTCTCAGCTTTCCTCCTGTTCAATAAGTGTCTGAGGTGATAAGTGAGAGAGATTTCTGGTAGTAATTTCACATGCTCAAGCAATGGCTGCCATTATCCTGTGTTAAATGGATTCATGCTAACTCTGTTATAAAATTGTTATATCTTACTATAATACTATATTTTAAGACCATAAATTTGCTTCTGTATTAGCGAAACTAGTTCATAAGTGACAAGAAGTTCTGGGGTTGCACTTCTCATAGAGTCTGTTCCCATAGAATGGTAGAGCACACTGGAGGCTTATGGTGGCTTTGCTTTAAAAAGCTAAAGCATATTGGAAGCAAGCAAATAAAAATAAGAGATTCATGTGACACCTAAAGACTAAACAGATTAATTGGGACATAAGACTTTTGTGGATTAAATCCCACTTTATCAAATTAAGGCCCTGGTCAGACGTGCCGGAAAACGCGGGGGGGGGGGGAGCGGGTATTTGCACCGTCGCATTCTGATGTTCTATTATGCGATCAGACGCGACGGGGCTTCCCCGCAGCAAAGAGGATGACAGGGGAGGAAGCCGCGCACCGGCATGATCACACTGGGAGGCTTCCATAGGCGGCCCGTGGCAAAGCGTTTGCCACGACATGCGGTGAGGTGGTTTTTTACTTCGGCGGCTTGCCACGGGAGTGCTACGCCTCCCAGATGTTCCTGTGTGATCATGCCCGGATACTCCGCAGGACTCCCGTGCCTTCAGCAGGGCAAATGCTCCGTGTGAACAGGGCCTAAGTTGTTTATTTAGAAAATGTATATGCTGTCTCCATAGTGACCTGCTTGATTCTTCCACCAAGTAAAACAACACAATAAAATAATTAAAAATAGCATAGAAATATCTATAATATTCCATTAAAACAACCCAGCATGAGCAGCTTAAAATGATATTCATAGAACTGTCTTGAGGCAGAAAATAAAGCAGGTCAAAAAGTGAAACCCATCTGTTGAAAGTTGCATCTGACGTAGTGGGCTCTATTGTGTAAAAGCCACAATAAATAAACTACCCTGCAGACTCTTGCAGAAGGCAGAGAACTGGTAGTCCTTGAACAGATTCACAAAATAATTGTAAGGTGGGGAAACTTAATTAGATTGGCCCGTTTGTGCTGGTTTGGGGACACAACTGAGTTGGCCTAAATTTAGGCTACTAAATGGGCTTGAAAACACAAGGTAGAAGGAAAACACTACTGGAAAATGGTTTTGTCACACTGTGGGTGATTTAAGAAGTTATTC